GAATCACTCCAAAAATCTCCTTCAGGAATATTTCCACCAGCGGTGTAAAACTGGCTTGTTTAAACAAATGAGTTGGACCAACAGACATGTAAAAGATACACTTCAGACATCAAACAGTTTATTAAAATATAGACACTATTCATCTTTGTATATCTGTCATAAAAAATAAAAGGAAACTTATTTTTCCCATCTATATATTGGAAATAGCCTCATTCTGTGGAAAAAAAAAAACTATGCTCATTATTACTGTGCATAAACAAGTTGTATTTCATACAGTAAAAAAATGTGAAGCAATCTTTGTCTGGCAATGATCTTTGATTTATTCTCTCTAACAAACTTTTGTAATACACTATATGCAAATATTTTCCTTTTTAAAGCCCATTTTGCAACAACCAAAGAGGATTTATAGCTCCAGTTCCTCACCTGGTTTAAAAGTTGCTCTAACCTGATACATTTTCAATCTCTAACAGCACAGACACATTAAACACTTTTTTTTTTTTTGCACCTTTGATTACAGTATTGCTAACGAAGAAAAATAAGGACTTTTCACTCCCATATAGCTCAGGAAATTGATTGGTAAAGTTGTTATTTTATTGAAAAAAAAAATTACAAATCAGTATCTACCAAAAAAAAAAAACAGATAAAAATCAGAGATCTCAAGTTCCACAAATCAAAAAAGTGCTGGTGACTGCCATGGATAAACTGCATGGGAAATAAATCAAAGTCTTAACATGGTTCAGGCTCTGTTTCCCCTCGAAGCAGGACAGGATAAAACAAGGTGCAAAAACTCCCAGAAATCCCCCTATTTGGCCCCAATTTCTGCAGTAGGTCCATTCCTCAGCTTTAAGAGAAAGCAACGTTATCCTGGCTAATTCCAAGGAGTGAGAAAGCTCATAAAAAAAAAAAAATAAAGGTTGGGAACTCATCCTTCTGGAGCTTCTGGATAACAAACACTGAAGGTGAACTGCTCAGCTGGGGTTTGCAAAGAGCTGCTTAACTGCAGGTTCAACCAGTGAAGCAGCAAAGCCAGACCAGGACAGAAATCTCTTAAAGCTGTGGCTCCAATGGCAGCAGGACCACCCTCAGCCTAAATATCTAAAAATTCCAATTAAAATATACATTCCAAAGTCAACTGCCCTCGTATTGATTGATGTGAAGTGTCCCCTTCCCCTGTTCAACACAACAAACATGAAGAATTAAACCATCAGCAACTCAAGTCCTTCCACTTTGATGACTCTTGTTAGGAAGAATAAATAAACCTGGAGAAGACTGTGGCCCTAAAGAATTTAAAAAATTTGATTTACAGCTGCAAACACGCCAAAGAAATAAAAGATATAAAGAACAAAATCCCCAAACCCACTGCTTTGGGTTGTGCCAACGTGCAGCATTTTGACATTGCAGCTCCCAAACAAAGGGACCCAAAAAACCCCCACCAGCTTCCAGAGCAGGTAAAAATAGAGCTTTTAAAAAAATAGACATACAGGCTTAAGGTCTGTTTGTTGCATAATCTTTACAGCATTTAAACAAAAACAAAAAAAAAATCCAGCTTTCTACAGAATCAGAGCTCTGACTTACGAAGTCATTGAGTCGTATCTGTGAACATCCCACTGAGCAAAGCTGGGTGTTGTCACTGGAGGAAGAACAGATTTAACCCCCAAACAAACAGATTTTGTGCTCAGAAAACGACAGAAGGCAAGGAGTGCTAAGCCTAGAAAAGCTGAGCTTAAATCCTACCTCGTTCTCTCCCCTGCCAGAAGCAGCTGGGAGAGGGAGATCCTGGGAGATCCTGATCCCAGAGGGAGCACCAGACCCCTCGGCTTCAACCTGCTGTTCCCAAGCCCTCTCCCAGTCCCTCAGGCTGGGACACAGCTTAATTCCACATGATTAAAACACACAGGGGTGGAAGGATGACTTCCAGAGCGGGACAGGAACGAGCCAACTCTGCCACAGGTCTCAGCAGCACATGGGAAAAGGGAATCCTGGTTTAAGCAAAGGCAGATTCCCGGCCCCTCACACCCTTCTGGCCACGGGAGTCACACAAGGGAGTGACCCTCCCCACTGGGAATTAAGATTCCCAGTGTTTCCTTCCTTCTTGGAGCTCCCCTTTCCCCCCTTTGTATCCCCAAACAGAAAGGGAGGTGGCCAGGGTTGCAGATCAAACACAGTCCCAGGAAGTTGTTGTGCTCATGGCACCTCTGGAAAAGTGCACAGGAAAGCCAGGGAGCTTCCCACAAAAACCTGGAGTATCCCCACACTTCTCTGAAAAGGCAACTATCACAGCAAAGCCTCCCACTTGCATGATCTCCACCTTAAACCATTTATTTCACCAAAGGAAAAAAGGTGCCAGGAACAACCATAAGAGACTTATTCTGAACTAGAGCAGCAGCTTCCAAGCCAAAAGGCAAATAATTCCCAACTTACACCTATCCAGGTACAGACAAAAAAGGATTTGTAGTGGTTCTAAATACCACCAGCAAAGAATATTCAGTGTGGAAGGAAAAAAATCCAACAGCAGCAGTTCAGGAACTAAGTCTCACACACTCCTGAAAAGGCCACAGCAAGACAAGCATCATGAACTTAAATAACTCCCCTTCATGCTGCTCTAATGAAAATACCAAATTAATACCAATTTCTGGGTTTTGCTTTCTAAAAATACCATCAAAGTAGTTTAACTGCCAGGGGGACCCTGTGGGTACAGAAGAAAAACAGAGATACAAAACCCATAACCAGAAAAAAAAACCCTCAGGGTTCTTCCCCTGCTGTGGCCTCTCTTCTGGAAATTAATAAGGTTGGATCATCAGAAGTCTCCAGTTATTTATAAATAAATAAATAATCACAATTCTTAAGTCTGTGTTGTATGGGACTATTGATTTGGGATTTTTAAAGCATTAAAGATTTGCTATGAACTATAAAATCACACCCTGATAACAGTCTTGACTTAAGAAGGGACTCTAAGGACCCTGTTTGCTTCAACTGGAGCAATCACTGCTCCCAGGACTGGCTGCAACTCTTCACCTCATCCAGAAGTTTAAACTGTATAAATCAAAACAGGAGAAAAAAAACCCAAAGAATTAAATCTCAAAAAAGCTGGGAGGGGTGAGGTAGGTGGAAATGGAAAAGGGAATAAACTAAGTTTTACCTGATTGCTTCTCAAAATGGGGAGGGAAAGGAGGGGTTTTTTTCCCCCCCTCCAAAAAAATCAAATTTAACTCCAAACCCAAACCACCTCCCTGGCTTAAGTTAAGTGTGACCTAAAATCCCAACCCTGCTCCCCCTGAAGTCAGTAACAATTAGCTCCTAAAGCCACAAGCATTACACTTGTACTTACTGATACCAAAAATTCAGTGCAAGACTTACAGAATTCGTACCCTGTTGACAAATTAACCACCAGGCAGCAAAAACAACGTCGTGAACAACAGAGCTGCTGCAACTCCAGGTGTTGTTTCACAAAATACAGAGGGTTTTCCCACTAAAATACAAAAGAGGGAGTAATAAAGCAGCGGAACTGAAGCGTTCTGACATGAGAACTGAAGGCAGGTCGGGGTCTGATGCTGCCCATAAGCAAATCAGTTAAAGAAACGGGCACAAAAAGTCATTTTCAGGGGAAGACCTGGAGTTTTTCCTGAAGAAAACAGAGCGAGGCAAAGTGAAACCCGAGCGTGTGGAGCTGGGGGGATTTGTAGGGCATGACAAGGAACATCTGACACTGGCACACGAGACCCGGGGTGACAACATTCCACAGCCACTTAAAGAGCCCCAGACTGGCCGGTCTGATGAGTGCAATTACCATAATTAACAGCAGGTGTTAATTGGAGTCCAGTGCAGCCAAGCTGGAACCCTTTAAAACGCATTTTTAAACTGTAATTGAAAAAAAAAAAAAAAGAAGCTGTTTATCATTTCGGGAAAATGAGGCTGTTAAAGGCACATTAACTATGAATCAGTTAAGACCACGTTCCTTCACAACATTAATTAACACTAATAATACAATAAGGACCCACTATGCTCTATACATTCACCACAAAACCACCCTACAAGTGTTCTGTAAACAGAAAAAGCTGACCCAGGCTTGCAAAGCCTGGTTTCCTCTCACCACAGCAATGGTAATTAAACCACAGGATCATCCACAAACTGAAATACTGCAATACTCCACTTGTCAGCTGTGGATTATTTAGTTTCACAAACACAAATCTGACCTTGTTAAATTAAGTCTGTGCAAATAAACTGCGTGTGCACACAGAGAAAACACTCACACTCAAATAACTGTTACCTGTTTTTTAGGCTAAGGCTGAAAAAAAAAAATGTTCTTTTAAGTTGAATTCACTTTCTGTAGAGGAAAAAAAAAAAAACACCATAATCTTGCTACACTAAGAATATGATTTCTACCTACCTTTGCTTTTAAACTTTGCTCAGTGGATTACAATGTGTGAATTTTTGCTACAAGTTTCCACGCTACTGCCTCAATAGAGTTTTAAGGGTGGCACTATCGAGACAAAAATCTGCTCTAGGAACATCCACGGAGCCAAAACTACACATTTGGAACGTTTTGCAAGTACACAGATATGGAAACAGCTCTCTAATCATCCACAAAACGTCAAATTCCACATTGAACACTATGCAACGTAAAAAAAATCTTCATTTTTGCCTTTCCAACTTATATCACCAACTTAATTCAATTTTAAAATAAGAACTGCTCTCCAAACCATATATACTGATACTTAAGAGCCTTAATTGATTATTAGTACATGTTAAGAGACAGTGTAACAGTAAGTTAAAGCATTAAAATATTCCTAAATGCCCTAAGAACACACCTGGAATTACTCATTCTTTGCTAATTCTCACCCTGAACATCCATACTCTGATTGTCTAAGCCACAGAACGGAGACTAAGTTAACAGCAATTAAATATATTAAGTCTTCCACACCAAAAAATAATCAGTTAAACAGCTTTGGTAACCTAGTACATAGTTAGCTCTGTGTAAATATTTTGCAAACATCCCTTCACCAAAAAAAAAAAAAAAAAATCCCTAAAGACCATGTGTATATTTATATAATAATATACAGAGTTCCTGAGTAAATCGTTAGATCTGATTATTCAGAAGATTTGGCAAAATATTTAAACTTTATATTACTAAAATAGAATTTTAAATAAACATTCAATGAACACATCAAAATAAATACGGAATGTGTCTGAAAAAAAAAATTATAGTACCATGAACTTAATTACAAAATTATTGTTTGTTATTAAAATAAGTGCATACTATGTTATACAGTTACTGGTTTTTAACCCACTGAGGAACCAATAAATCTAATTTCTAATCCTGAGTGACAGTTTTCTATCACCTGCTGACGTGTACTCCAATGCAGTACACGCTGCAAAGCTACAAAATCACTTTTTAATGGAAATATTGAAGTGGACTGTGCTGTGGGAAAGCTCAGTTCACACTGGTTTTGCCAGAAACCGAACTGGCAGCACAGCTGCTGAAGCATCTCACACAACCAACGCTAAACACTGATTACTCTCCTCAAAATTGGTGATAACCTGGATGACCTGATTCCCGAAAACACAGGAGTGTGGATTGCTCCTGGCAGAGTGATGGGATGCAAACTACTCAGTGATCACTTTGGCTCTTAAAAGAACTATATTATGGTGCAAAAAAACCCCCGAAGAGCCCTGAATAATTATTAAGTACCTTTAAATGTGCTAAATTATCTCATTAACAAAAAAAAAATGGAGAATTAAGTTCTACCACACTCTCTGGTTTCTCAGGTGACTGAGACTCACAGAGCTTTGGAAAAGCACACAAGGGAATGCTCAGCTACTGTTTAGTTCCTCTTATCATCGAAATCCTTCCTGCAATACCAGCGACATTAAAACCGCATTAACACTGCAACAAGAAGTGTCTCCCAACACCAGAATCACAGTAACAGAACTGCAGCACTGACCAGGCACATGAATTAACCCTTTTGCTTTCTCACATCCCATCAAAACCCCCCTCCCAAGGTGCTGTGCAGGACCCCGAGTCCTTCCCTCCCCATCCTCGGCCTCTCCCCCTTTTGTCGCCGCTCTTATTCCCCCGTTATTCCACAATCCTCGCGGGTTCCTCGGGCTTTCCTTGCTCCACGCTGCTTTTTTCTTGTGTGCTTGTGCCTGGAGGAGAAAGCTCCTGCAACGCCCTTTGAACAGCTCCTTGTTTCTCTGGCCCAGCCGGAGGGTTTTTTTTCGGCAGAGTCATCTGTGCCGCGCACCAGAGCGCGGTGCGAGCCCGGCGCGTGGCACCAGCCAGAGCCCTGATGGCAGCTGCCAGAGCCAGGACATCTGCAACAAAAAACACCATCTTAAATCAGCGTGCAAGCCTGGAAATGTTAAAAAAAAAAAATAAAAATGGTTGGGCTCATCTCCTTAAGTGCGGTCAAGAAACAGCCGAGCTGTGTTGGTTGAACCCCATCGGCTGCGGTTCTTCTCTGTCAAAGGACAACGACAACACCTCACACTCATCGTGTCTGTGCAAAAAGTGCTAGTGGAGACTGGGCCAGCTGGTTGGTTGCAGGCAGTTTCTGGGTGGATCCCTCTCCCAGCAGGGAAGGACTGTCCCAAAGACCGGGAACACTCACTTTGGGACGGGTCAATAAAAGCGCTGAGATCCGGTCAAATGTGGAGATAAAATCCTAAAGTAGCTCCACAGGTGATTTGTTGCTTTGTAACTGGGAGTTCTGCAAGGTCAGGCACGAAACCTGCACGTTTCTACCCAGAACTGCTGATATTTTAACTCTTTAGACACTGATTGTTGACCAGATCTGGGACTAAGTGGATCGAGCTGCACTTGGACTTCTCTGGGAAGTTTAGGACGTGAGGGGGTCTCAAAATTTGTGACTCAACAAGAGGGACCAGCACCTTATGATACAACAATCCACTGTAACAGATGACAGAGCTGTTTAATTTAGAGGCTGTATTGGCAATAAATCTAACCATAATCATCCATGTAGCCACTGTGTCCTACTTCTCATGCCTGGCCTTCCTTCCACTACTCCTGACTTATGCTGGGGGTTAATGTCACATGACACAATTTTAGGAGTTATTTCAGGACTCAGTTTGCAAATAGGACTATCACTTAAATGATTTGACATCATGCTTGACACCTGAATTGCGAAAGAAAAACATTTTGACTCTCTTTAAAGTTTATCTTTCCCTTCTAACAAGGAAGAACTACCCTTTGCTGGAAGCCAAAAGGAACCTCTCTGTCCCCTCCACTGCAGCAGCAGGAAGTGCAACCCCTCTCTGGAAATAATTTTCTGAAGAAAAAGAAAGTTTTCTTTACCCCCCCAAACCCTAAATTCCTACATATATCACCTCTACTGCTGCTACAGATTCCTCTGGCTTTACTTCAACAGAATTTGGAATGTAATTTCTGGTGTATCTGTGATTTAGATAAGGTAGACAGACATAATTAATTAACACAACCCCAGCAAATTTATGTTTTTAATTAATTCTACTTGCTTAAAAACAAGTATATTTTTACTTTCAGGACACTGACTTATGGTTATATATAATAACACTGAATAGTTTTTACAGTTCTCTTAGTCAAGAGGAAAACGTTTCGAAGTGTTTAAACCAATAACAGAAAAATAAAAAAAAAACGCAACAGATCTCAAAGTAACTTAAAAAGTAACAAGTGTGTATTTACAAATCTTCTTTTGCTGGAGTGGCGAGAATTGCTGCATATTCCAAACTGACATGTTTTAAAACTGAGCATATTCACAATTAAATCTCTGCCAAAGGTTTTTTCGGACTCCAGGGATGAGGAGCAGGTACCTTTCTCGTGGCTAGACCGTGGCACTCCGTGTCTCTGGGGATTAGCAGCATTAACAATCTCATCCTTCCGACGGGCCCGTGTCCCATGGATGGCTTCCATGTGGTGTTCCAAGGCCGTGGATATGTTCCTGTGCACGGGGGCACCACGAAGCCTTTCCATCGTTCCTATCAATGCCACCACCTGCCAGGAAACACCAAAAATCGTTAAGTATTTATAAAAAAAAAATAATAAAAGCCTCCCTTACAACAAATATAAACCCCCTCCCAAGGAAGTGCAGGAATTGCAAGGCCCACCCTGGCTTGTTCCCGGGACTGGTCGACGATCAAACGATCCACCCGGGATGGGTTGGCAGGGAGTCGGGACACAGGGGCGTTGTTGGAGCTGGATGTGCACTTCCCTGGGAAGTGTCTTGCAAGGTCAGCTTCAGTCTGAAAGGAAAATGAATACCAAGTGTAAATGTTTGAAATCAGTACAGTATGACAATCCACTCTGGGGGGTGCTTAGAATTGTCAAGTACATTGGAAGTGCACTTCCCATCTCTGCTTTTGACTGCGTTGACTGGAAAATGTTTTCAAGTATCCTAGAATCTTAGAATGGTTTGGGCTGGAAGGGATCTTAATGATTATCCAGTTCCACCCCCTGCCATGGGCAGGGACACCTTCCACTAGCCCAGGTTGCTCCAACCTGGCCTTGGACACTTCCAGGGATGGGGCAGCCACAGTTTCTCTGGGCAACCTGTGCCAGGGCCTCCCCACCCTCACAGCCAAGAATTTCTTCCTAAATCTAATCTAACCCTTCCCTCTTTTGCTTTAAAGCCATTACCCCTTGTCCCATCACTCCATCCCTCGTCAAAAGTCCCTCTCCAGCTTCCTTGCAGGAATGCCTCCCTAATTTCAGCTCTCCCTCAGAGTACAATGCTCAGTGGCAGGGAGTCAGGCCACGGAGGTGTTATCTGAGCTGGATATGTGCTTTCCTGGGAAGTGAGAACCAAACCTGTACAACTTTATTTTAACCAACTTTGGACACAGACCCAGGCAAAGAAATTCTTGTGCAGCACCCAAGGAACAGGCACTTGAGGACGTGGTTTAGTGGTGAACATGGTGGTGCTGGTTGATGGTTGGACTTGATGATCTTAAAGATCTTTTCCAACCTTACTGATTCTGCAATTCTGTGAATTTAAACTCAGTGGCTCTCACTGCATCTCTCAAATGTCACATACTGTGATTATTAAAACAAAGGAACAGGTGATCACAGCAGCATAAATTGTATCTAAAGCTCATCAGGATTAAGTCAGATTTAACAAACTTATATCAGCTCTGAAAAATTATTAATACAGCTGCCAAACTCCCTGTTGAGAAAGACACTGGGCAAACCACTTCTGTAACACAGACAGCAACTAAACATCACCAAACCTATTTTTGGAGAGGAATTTTTTACACTTGGAGTAAAAAAAGATACAACCACAGTAGATTCCCTGTCTCATTTCTTCTTCAGTGTACAGTGGATACAGGAGAGAGGGCCCAGGTGCCACCGTGTAGTTCAAGGCAAGGTTAAGTCCACATTCCCACTGTGTACATTCCTACTGCAAATATGTGCTGAAGTCCTTTGCTTTTTGCTCTACTGACACTTCCATATTATTTAGTCTCTGCCCTCACCTAACATGGATTACATCTCATCTGAGAAGCCTGAAAGTCATCCAGAAAAAAAGGCAGATGGGAAAAGAGTCATGGATTCATATAACACCACCAGATATTTAAGAACCACAACTAATAAGTCATTAACTAATTGATCTGCACATTTAACAGTGCAGGCAACCTCAAATATAATAAAGGTGTCTGCAGGTGGAGTGTGTAACTACAAAAAGGACTGAGAAATCCCAAGCAGATCATTAGGATAAAACTGGATCTCATGGAACAGACCAGATCAAGTGAGTCAGTTAAATCCCTTTGATTATTAAGCACGTGGTATGAAGATAAACAATCTTCCTTTAATCATGAAATAAAAAAATAAGAGAGAAAAACTACGATTTGGTCTTCCCAAATGACTTAATTGACACAAATTCTGCCTGAGTAGGTTTGGAACAGCCTTCTTTACCACAACAGAAAGCAGAAGGGTTTCTGAAGACCCTGGAGTGGGAATCACCATCACCCTTTGCCACTTGTGGAGAATTCCTAGAAGACCAGACAGGCAGAGAGGATTCTTGTTTAGGGGCATCCATGAGAGAACAATATAAGCAGTTCTATTTACACCTCCAGAAGTCCATTAGCAAGGTCCCCTAATTGATGTGGGAAAGAAAAAGGTGCTCTCCAGAGGTCCAGTTTGGTCAGACATCTGTCTCCTTATCAGACCAGGAGTCTTCTCCAAAGTGGAAGAAATAGCCAGGCTCGGTGTACAATTAGGACAGGGATTACTGACAATTTAATTTCTGATGTCTGGCATGGAATTCAGAGATCTGACTCCTCTTGGGAAAGCACCTCCTGCTCCTTTATCATTCCCACTTATCAGCAGTGTGATCCCTCCCTGACAACAGTTCTTAGCAAGAGCATTTGAGGCAGGACAGTGATTGTAATAAGAAGAATATAAATTGTGCAATTTCCTTTGGGAGAGGGCACATCCACTCAAGACACCGTAGGTTTGCCCAGGATTAGTTGTTTAATTTTCTATATTACTAAACCCAAAGATTTAGTAAAATAAGAAACCAAAAGGGAAAGACACAAGTACAACATGGTCTCAAGTTGTGCCAGGGGAGGTTTAGGTTGGACATTAGAAAGAACTTTCCAGAGAGGGTGTTCAGCCACTGGAATGGGCTGCCCAGGGAGGGGGTGGATTCTCCATCCCTGGAGATTTTTAAAAAGAGACTGGATGTGGCATCAGTGCCATGGTCTGGGAACCACAGCGGGGTTGGATCAAGGGTTGGACTTGATGATCTCGGAGGTCCCTTCCAACCCAGCTGATTCTATGATTCTATGAACATTGACAGTAAAAAAAACCAAAACAACACAAAGCCAAAACAAATCAACAAAACAAAAAAAAAAAGCCAACCGAAGAAGAAACCCTAAGTTTTTTCTTCCTTCATGTGATTTAAAACCAGTCAAGTTCTTATCAGGAATAATTATCAGTTGGGTTTTACCTTCTTTCTCTCCTTCTCCAAAGCTCTCCACTGCTCGTAACACTCCTCCAGTCGGATGTGAAGCTCATTAGCAGGTCCACTGCGGTTCCTTGGGGGTCTGTACTTGTTAAACGGGGGTGGGAAGGCCACGTAGGGGGCAGCCACTTCCCCACAGAACAGGTCGTTGAGGAAGGGGCTCAGGGGGTTCAAGTCGTCGCAGTGAAAAAGGTCAACGAGTTCCGAGAAGGGGAACGGCGACGGGAGAAAACCCAAATTATTTGCAGATGGAAGCAGATGGTGATTAAACAGAGGCAGGCTGGGGTTCTGCTTAAAATCAGACATTAACGGGAAAGAAGGAAGAAAAGAAGGGTTGATGAAGTCTGACAGGCTGCCACCGTTCTGTTCGTGCTTTTTTGGGAACATACTGAAGGGAGGGCGGTTTGGGGCGGTACATCCCAAATGAGGAATCCAATTCCTTCTGCCTCTCCTGTCATCTTTACTGCAGTTTTCCTGGCTCTGCTTTTTTGGAAACCTGTGGTATTTCTCAGGGTCTTCACTTACAGCCTTCTGCTGCATCACCCAGTCAGATGAGGAATCAACAGGGAATTTATGGTACGGCCCCTCCTTATTAGTCAATGAATCCTGCTGGGATTGCCCGACGGGTTTCACTTGCTTCTGGTTTTCTGAGGTGAAATTAGAAAGCCCCAAGTTATCAGAAAAACCATTTGATATTTGTAACCTTCCATCTTTCCTGGGAGGGAGGACAGGTAGGAGCTGTGAGTAGTAAGAGGACTGATGGGTGGGAGAACCCCCAGACACGGTTGAAACCCCTGAAGACGACTGTGGACTTGTGACCTGTTTTCCGTAGGGAATATCCAATCCAGCTGCCAGACCTTTCCCATCCAGCCACGCACACCCATGGTATGATGAATAGCTCCCGTTCTGCACAACGTTTTTCACAGATAAATCACACTCAGCTACTTTCGGAGAGAATTCTTTCAGGCCAACATTAATCTTACATTCATTATTATTAAAAGCACTCCCCAAAGGAAAGCCACAATGGCCGTTTTGCACGTGGGTTTCCTGGGGTTTCCTGGCTGTTTCTCCAGGGAATTTATCTTCATTAGGGGCTTGGTTGAAAAAATATAGTGATGGATGGAGAGCTGACTGCAGTTTGTGAGCAGATCCAACGTTTTCATATCTTTTAGGAAGCCAGTGGTTGTCCTGGGATACTTTATCCCAAGAGTTATCAAAGGGCTGCTTGCAAAGATCAGGGGAACACTTAGTTTGTTCTTGAGCATAATTTTTCAGGGCTTTTCCTCTTGCCCTTTCACTTTTCCAGTACTCCTTCTGAGCATTAGTGCCTTCTTTCAGCCTGCCCTGAGAAGAAAAAGGGCCAAAATTGGAGCCGAATTTTTCGTGGTCCCCATTGAGCCTCACGTGGTCGTAGCTGCACAGATGCTGATTAAAGTTCACCCCGTGAAATGAAAACCCTTCCTGGGGAATCCTGTTGTTATTATTGTTTTGCAAGGAGGAATTTTCAGGGTAGCTGTTGCTCAGGGCGCCGTCGGGCTGAGGGCGAGGGCCGGGTGGGGAAAGCCAAGACTCGATGAGCTGGAGATCTTCCAAACCTCTGGGCAGCATCTCCACATCAGGAGGCTTCTGCAGCTGCTCCTGGTGGCAGCTCTGTGTCCTCCCCACCAGGCTTGGGAAATCCCTGCTTTCCACAGGGTGCTTGGCTGGGAATCCCCCGTTGCTTCCCAGGTCAGGCGTCCACATGGGGGGAAACAACCTTGAAAGAGAATTCCTGTAGCAGAGTTAAACATTTTATCTTTATCTATTTAATTTATTTATTTAATTATTTAAAACATTTCTTGCATTACACACCATGGTTATTCCCCTCCACTACACACCTTTCCCATCACATTGTTGACCAACCATCCCCAGCTCTCCTCAAGAAAAAAAATAAAGGAGAGGAATATTCCCACTGCAGTTGAGGAAATGAGGTTTGTGAAATCTGACTACCAACACTGTTCTCTGCTGTTTATAATACATGTATTCAAAACTGCAGAGCTTATTTGGATTTATTAAATATTTTATATTCCCCTGCATTCAGTCAACTCCCCACTGGTTAAAATTAATCATATTTTTTCCCCTCCCCAAATGCTGTAAAGCTGATGGAAGACCTTGGACAATTTGCATTTCTAACAGTTTATTGCCTTTTTTTTTTACTGGCAAGTAAAAACACTTCCACATTTTAAGGGAATTTATAAGACCTTCATTACTGAACTCTGAAATAATTAAAAATGGGTATCACATCTATGTGACAATGGGCATAAAAAAAAACCACAGAAATTTTAAGAGCTTTCAGAACAAACTTACCAATCTGTAACTGGTTCAGGCTTGTTTGGCTCCTCCAAAATGCTTGACACCAGCCCAAACATATCAGGGCCATTGCCAGAATAAGAAAGATTTATTGGTGCCCTAAAAACAAACAAACAAATAAATAAAAGCTTAGACAAATAAGTCTTTTTTCCTCCTAAACAAATCAGGCAAAAGGAAAAGCAAAGGATAAAACCTTTAATTTATTCTAGCAGCATCAGCTAGTTTGAAATTTGGATTTAATGTACTCTCAGCATCCACACACAGAAATCTTTTCCTGTATCTGTGAATTCTACAGCCTAAGAGGAATAGAACAATTTCTTTGACTTCTTGCTTCCCAAGCTGTCAAGTGAAGAGATTGGAGCAGCAAGAGATTCTCCTCTCTTTCCAAGAAACAACTATTCCACAGACATTCCTTCAAACCTTGACTGTCTTGTTGAGAGGATAAATACGATCAACCTTCTCAAAGTCTTGGGGATTGTAATTTATCTACTTCTGCAATTCAAGAACTATTATTTTAATCTCAAAAAAAATGAAGTTATACTTAAGTTGAACCACTTTTTAACGCCTTGTTAGAGATAACTTTATCAGGAATATTTACTAAAGCTATAATAAACACCAGAGGTGTTCAACCATCACCAGTTTTACACAAGCCCAACTTTTACCTCAGGTGCAAAGTGAGGTCTTTAAGAGCTGCCTGTGCTGACACCTGCCCCTTACTCAGAAATTAATTAAAAGATAACACTGTAAGATCTCCTTCCCTGTGACACACATTGGTTTGCTTTACTAAAGTTCACTCAAAAGCTTCTTGTGGCTCAGCTGATCCCTCTCAGTGTCCCTGCAGGTCTCCCATTCTTCCCTGGTGTCAGCTCATCCCAACTACATCATCTGCTAATGCTGCCACACAATTACTCACTAATTTTGCTGATTAACAGAGACCACTATTAAGACAAATCACTTTGTTAATCTCCTGCTACAATAAAAATAAGCCACTTATTCCTTACTGGCTTTTAAATACTCATTATATTTTGAATTTACCTACCTCTTACCTCATGACCACTCAGTTCCCTCTGGAAGGGATCTGGTCTGAGTGATTTTATTTAAGACATACAGAAGTGCAAAGACTCTTGAAAGTGTTTTATAAACATAAACCTTTTATTTGATGAGAATCTCTTCTGTGTCTTTGTGAGAAATAGCAAACTTCTCTCTTTTTCTTTTTTTCCTAAAGGAGACCTCAAGGAATACTGAATATCTGCACATTCAGAATGGGTGTAGACATGGATTATCACTCACAGACAAGTACCATTTAATTTAATTCCTTTTTTTAAAAAAAAAAAAAAAAGCTACCTTGCAATAATCTAAAGGCTGCCTTTTAAGAAAATATTGAATATTTTAATTAGAGGATTGTCACTGTGCTTAAACCTAACACTTAAAGCTTAAACTGTGACACCTTCCAGGGAAGACTGGGGAAAAAAAATAGCTTTTCTGCATTATATATGTGTCTTCCTTAATTGTTACCTTTCAGCACCTTGTGACCTGGTGGATTCCTCTTTCTCCCCATCTCAAATTTCATCTTATTAGGAAAACAATTTAAAAAAAAGCACTGAGGTACTAGAAATACTCACTAGAAAGGCATCACCTAAGTGCCAAAAGCTGCTGTGCCAGTCTGCACCAACCTACCCCCCAAAAAAGAGTATTATATTGCCATCATTTGGCATAAAGAAGGAAAGGGGGGGGGGAAGCCCAATATAAAAAACACTGTTTATGCATTTCTGAGGCTGGAATAGTTTCAATGTGACAATTTTAACTGCTGTCCACAAGCCATGAAATGATCAGGGTGAACGAGAGAACGCGATCTTATTCAGTAAGGCTGTGTTGCTCCCGTCGGTTCACTTCCGCCTATCTCCCACTCTTTCCCGCTTTCTTACGCTACTCCATCTACCGCTCCGGGACTGCCTATTCCTACTGTTCCTTACCCCTCTCTTTTTCTTCCTCTTGAGAGATTAAAAAAAAAAAAAAAAAGGAGTTTTATTTGCTCTCCACTCCCAGGGAAGCTTTCAAACCCCTGTCCAGCCTTCTCTGCACCATTAATAATTTCACTGCATTAAGTTGGTGGATCAGAAGAGCCTCCAACACCAACAGCTGGACAGAGTAAACTTCTCCATAAAAATGTTTCATGATTCAAGTACCAAAAGACCTTTTGCATTCATTCAACATCCAGAAGTGCAAAATGATTGTTTTTAACATAAAATCAAACTTGAGTGCATTATATCAAGGGCACAACAAGCCAGTGGGCTGATATATTTTCAGGAGGAGCTGGTACCATATTTATGCTTCCCAGCAGCACAGGTACCACTTACACTTGACTTGTTTCTAGCACTCTTCATGTTCCAGGAAATAATCTGCATTATCAAGCATGAAATCACAATCTGTGGTACTGAGGGGTGGGAGGCACTGAGAGTGAGTGGGATTTTCCTTAAGGAGTTTTCAGTGGCATGCAGGAGTTTCCCCATTTTGTTCCCTAAATGTGGTATTCTTTTCCAAATTTTTCAGATGCTTTTACAGGTAAACACACATTTATATGCACACCTTTTTTTTTCCCCCACAACCTCTATAATAACTTTAACACAGCAAAGAAAACTCATTGAGTTTTTAGTTATCCCATAAACTCTCCCTAAAAAAAAAGACCCGGAATCCCGTTTGTTCTGCTCCATGACAATCCCAGTGTTCCAGATTCCAGCAGGAATGCTCATACCTTTTCTTTGTGCAGTCCTGAAAAGCAGTTTTTGAGCCAATCTCCTCCCCACATCCCGACCAGTCGCTGCACAGCCGGGAAGATTCCAGGGGTGGGGGGGTATCGGGAACTGCTCCCAGTAAGGGGGAAAATAACTGAGTGTCCATTGTTTGGTTCTTGCTATTTACCTGTGTTGGAAAGAGAAGGGAATATTTTTATTACTGCACATTTCTGTAAATGAGCAGCGAAGGCAACACAGCAAAGCCTTTACTTTTATTTCTTGAACCAAATAATTGTTTAGGAAAACGAAGCACCGCCGTGATAAAAGGATAAAGTCTAAATCACATTCCCTCCCTTGCCTTAAATTAGTTCAAAGCTCTGTTTGTCTTCTAAAAACGTGTGTGTCTTCTAAAAATAAATATGTAAGTAACAAAAATGACTTACTACAGAATAACAGGAATTCTCCACAGATTTCACATTGTAGGTGTTGGGGTGTCACGTTCACCAGAACCTTCTGTTCTATATGGCTGGAAATGCACATGGCACAGGCAAACACATTCCCTCTGGAAAACAAAGGGAAGGGCAATTATCCCACTTATATCCCTGAAAACACAAACTATTCCAACAAAGAGGACAGCAGGGAGGGACATCTGTAAACTCCACAGAGCCACGGGTGGGTAAAAAAGAGTAACTTGGCTTTAAGTGCTGCTCCAGAATTATTACAAATAAATTATTTATTCAAATGTTATTTATGCCAAGAAAGGTAGGAGCAGATGACAGTTGAGGTCACTTCCAACCTGGAATTCTGTGAATTTAGGGGCTTTTTTTTTTTTGCTTCGTACAAATCATTGGTCAAACTTTGGTTTAGTGGAAGCTTTCGTGGACTGGGAAGATCTCCCTGGGTATTGTTTGAAGAGGTAGTAAAGAAATATTCCCTAGCCACAGGCAGAACAATCCTTTAGGGAATTTTTTTGAATGAAAAAAAAAAGTTTCCACTGAGGGGTCATCACTTTCTATAAACTGATCTTACACATCCAAACAAATCCTTATTAAATAACAGAATTAGAGGTACTAGAACGTTGTAGAGGCTGCACAGATACTCTGCAAAATTCCATGCAAACACACTATTCATATTTATATCATTTTATATCGATTTATATCGATTTATATCATTAAATAACAGAAAATAATGACTTCCTGGCCCAGGGACCAAGTGGCACCACAGAGCTCGAGTCACACGGGTCGATTCTGACCCCGCAGAAGAAGAGGAGGGTGGGACCCACATTTTGTGCTCCAAATGACTCCTGAATCCCACAAAAGTAACATTTTGGAAAGCAGCAGCTGACCAAGGCTGAAATTCCAGGAAAAATTTATCAGCATCAACAACCACAGGCCAATGCCCGAGCCCTGGTCTTGTTTGGACTAAAAGGGAGCAACACACAGAGATAAATTCTGCTCCTTGGCGAGGGCATAAAATATTCCTGCATGGATTAAAAATAGGATCTGTAAGGAATGGGTTTATCTTTTATTTTCAGAGCCATTAATCACTGCTAATGTGAGTTGTGCAGGACAGTGTGTCTAAAGATCAGGAGACGAGGTACTTCGTGTACCCGAGATACAGCCTTGGCACTCCCAAAACAGCAGAGCTTGTCCTTCCACCCAGTTGAACACAAGTTCTCCTCCGGGATTTACAGGAGAACTAACAACAAGTTACAGTAAAAACACGCTCAGAATTTCAGCATTATTAAAAAAAAACCACAACAAACAAAACGCTGCCTCGGAAAAAAAAAAAAAAATTAGAAAAAAAAAAATCAAATTATGACAATTACAGTCTTCAGCAGGGCTTTTATTTTATCCTTTCCACCCTGCAAATCCTGGGAAAGCTGCTGCTCTCACTAAATTATCTCTCAAAACAATAACAAAAAACCCCCTAAAACCCAGGTAGGTTATCAGGATGGACTTTTTTTTTTTTCTTTCAAAGCATAACAAGACACAGCTTCTGTTTGCTCCTGAAAAATAAAAAGTGTGCATGTACTAAACTCTCTCCCTGTGTATGAAACTGGACACGCTTTTTCCCGAGACATCCAACATTTATTAGTCACATCTTGAAATGCACACAGGGGGCTTTCAACCTCTGCGAGCAGCTCATCACAACAGAGGAGTGAGCAAACACAAATATTTACCAAACACAGTCACTATTTCCAAAAGCATCAGGCAGCTCTTTAGCATTTAGAAACTGTCCCGAAGTTTCTTTTGTTTGAGGAGAAATTAAACGAGGAGAACTTTCTTTGTCAGTAAAATGTTAAATATTTTCAGTATAAACGTGTATGAAACTAAAAAGAATCAAAGCTATTAGACAACAACACTGTTGTATCTGTGACAGGAAAAAGGAGAGATTTAGATTAAAGAAGAAATTGTTCCCTGTGAGGGTGGGGAGGCCCTGGCACAGGTTGCCCAGAGAAGCTGTGGCTGCTCCATCCCTGGAAGTGTCCAAGGTCAGGTTGGACTTGTCTTGGAGCAACCTGGGCTAGTGGAAGGTGTCCCTGCCCATGGCAGGGGGTGGGAACTGGAAGAGGTTTAAGGTCCCTTCCAACCCAAACCATCCTGGGACTCCCCAAGTCCTGTGTTCCCCCGCACACCAACTCACTTTTTGTCACCTGGCTCCTTTGTGCTTCCCCTTTGTCCCGAGGATTTGCTGCTGTTACACAGGTGGATTCACTGCTCCTGCACCTTGAGCAGAGCTGTTACTCCCCCACTGCTCCTCCTGCCCAGTCCATTCCCTCCAGTCCCCAATCCTACCAAGCTAGAACAGCTGCCAGGCATCCAGAGGCAGATGGACCCACAGATCTCAGGAAGGGACATGATAAACGTCCTGTCACTTGTACCTGGAACAGAGAATCCTGCATGGCAGACATCTGGGAACAGCTGCTGTTGGAAGGGACCTTTGGAGTCAATGCCCTGCCACAGAGCAGGTGGTTCAGGACCTTGTGCAGTGCCAAGGATGAACAGGACAGAAGACACAGAGCAGTGCCAGTGTCCCCCCACGGGACCCTCTGCCACAGAGAGGAGACAAATCCTCCACACAGAGGTTTCTGCCTCACCAGCACTGCCTGAGGTGGGATAAATATGGGAAGAAATCACTTTCATTGACAGAGTCCCACGTGAACAAGCTCTTCGTTTTCCAAAAAGCTAAAAACTGATTTACATCTTGTGCAAATCCTCTGTCTGAAGAGGATCCACAGCTCTGTGCATACAGGAGACTCATGTGTTGTTTCTCATTACTGGAAATGTTTTGTTCCTAGTCCTGTCCAGCAAAGTCCTGGGAACAGTTCAAGGCTGCAACTGCTCTTGTGAGATGGCAATGGCTGCTGAGAGGGCACCAAAGGCTCCCCTCAGGCAGACTGGAAGGAGTTTTAGGAATTTTCATAGAGACTACTAAGTGATGCCACTGTTACTGAGATCTGGGGAACCTCATGGAAACCAGAATAGTCTGTGTTGGAAGGGACCTTAAGGAGCATCTCATTACAAACCTTGCCATGGGTAAGGACACCTTCCACTAGCCCAAGCCCCATCCAGCCAGATCTTGGACACTTCCAGGGATCCAGGGGCAGCCACAGCTTCTCTGGGCAACCTTTGCCAGGGCCTCACCACCCTCACAGGGAAGAATTTATTCCTGTTTAGAGGTAAGAGCAGTTTATGGCTCATATCAGACTAACAGTTCTTTGAAAGGATATGTTATAAGCTGAAAAATTATGTAATCACAGCTAAATATTTGCTTCATGATACAATTAGAAGAAGTTACTTCCATTGACATAAAATCCCACCTGACAAAGTTCCTGATTTTCCAAAAAGCATTCAGGCTAAATCAGCAAAAAGCCTTTTTACAGCCAGTTATCCCAAAACTGCAGGAACTCCCTGCTACAGAGCATTGCTCAACAATGCTTTTATAAACATCCCTGGTAACAACATTAAACAACAGCACTGCACAGTGTTGTTACATTTACATTGTGTGTTCTACTCTGATTTCTTGGCAGGATAAATATTTCCTGTTTATTTCTGCTGTACCTCACCAAGAAAAAGAAAACAGAAGAAAAAGCACTGTTTGGGGTTGGGTTTTGGTGTTTTGGTTGGTTTTTTGTTTGGTTGGGGTTTTTTGTTTTGGTTTGTTTGTTTTTTTAAGATTTCTAAGAGCTCCTACCTACAGCCTTCTTAATCTATAGCACACTGGGACTGGTGAACTCAGGATGTGCTGCCAGCAATTCTCTGAAACTACTGGGTAAAAAAAGGGAAAAAAAATCAGAATTCCATACATTGCTTTCTTGGGTTACCCAGGAAATGAACCAGCAGAAGTAAACAGGCAACAGGGACATGTAAAAAAAAAAAACAAACTCGGGGAGAAAAATAGGTCAGTTATTCAGATATCTCCTAATGTCAGAGATAAACCCATAAAAATGGCAGATTACTGAAGACTTCCTTCTAAATCCCAGTTTCACATCATCAAAAAGGCTTTTTGCAGCAGCAAAGGGAAACGTTCCTTTTTAGCAGTCAAAGAATTAAGAAGCTTTTTTCCCCCGAGGAGAAAGAATCAAGTCTAAAACACCTCTTAAACAGTTGGGGCAAAAGCCCATAAAAAAAGCACCATTTAAGGGTGTGAGGAACTAAGTATATTTATGAGATGCTTGTTCAATATAAGGGATCTATTGCCTAGTCACCATTAAGAGCACTAATGGGCCATTTGTTTTAACAAAAGCACCTAAAAACATTCATTAAATACAAAGTTTGTGGGTTGTTTTTTTTTTTTTTTTTTTTTTGGTTCAGAGAAACTTCCAGCAGTTGTTCTTCGTGGTAAGTCTCACAAATGCCTTTGAGAAGAGGAGTGTGTGAGGATCTGCTGAATTCCATGAAAAGAGGATCCCTCCCTTGTCCTGACACAGTGAAACTGTGATGTGACAATCCCTTCGGGTGTCGAGGGGTTTTTGTTATGTGGTTATTCACTACGAAACAAACACATCACCTCAGTTTTTCTTTCTGTTCACCTAAGCAAATTCACTTTTTGGACTCACCTGTGGCTTGCACCGAGCAGGGGTGGCACTTTGACCACGTCCTTGTTATCAGCACACAGCTTCTCCTCTCTGCAGAGTGCAGCATTGCTGTGCAAGCTGAAATTTAGATCCTTATGGACTGACTCAGCCTGTTTAAAAGCAATTACAAGAAAAAAAAAAAAAGCAATTACCAGATCTGCCAAAGTCGTACTTATGCATGAAAACTCATCTCTAGCTTCCCCTCATGGTTCCTCCCAGCATCCCTCCCAAGTCACACAGCCACAGCTCCTCCAGGACCACCCACATCCAAGGCATTGGTGGAGCAATGATGATTTATTTCTGTGAGATCCCACAGGACACAAGAGCTCAGCAGGGACAGAGCTGCTGACCCCAAATCACAGGGAGCCCTGGAAAGGGCAGGACAGCAGCACCAAGGATCATGCAGGCAGAGGGCTATGGCCTGACAGCTCTGCTCTCTCCAACTTTATCCCGTCGGATCAAGGTCCATCCCGCAGCTCCACGTCCACCACTCCAGCACACACAGTCACCCCGTGACCTGCTCACACCTGCCACAGAACTGAACATCCGTCCCCATCACCTGACAGGACACCTGGGAATGCAGATATTTGGGAATGCAGCACCTCAAGGGCTCCATCCCATCTTCAGGCTCAGGGTCTGCCCATGGCAGAGGCCAGGCTGGCTCCTGCCACACACACACTGTCATCCAAATCCAGGTGGGATGTAAGCCCAGCCCCTCGGGACAACACTGACATTGAGGGGCTGGAGCGTGTCCAGGAAAGGGAACAGAGCTGGAGAAGGGTCTGGAGCAGCAGGAGCAGCTGAGGGAACTGGGGGGGCTCAGCCTGCAGAAAAGGAGGCTCAGGGGGGACCTTCTGGCTCTGCAACTCCCTGACAGGAGGGGGGAGCTGGGTGGGGGTCGGGCTCTGCTCCCAAGTAATTAGCAACAGGATGAGATGAAACAGCCTCAAATTGTGCCAGGGAAGGTTCAGTTTGGATATTAGGAAAATTTCTCCACTGGAAAGGTGGTCAGGTGTTGGAAGGGGCTGCCCAGGGCAGTGGTGGAGTCACCATCCCTGGTAATGTCCAGAAGGCTTTTGGATGTGGCACTTGGGGACATGGTTTAGTGGTGAACCGGGTAGTGCCAGGGTCAGAGTTGGGCTTGATGATCTCAGAGGTCCTTTCCAACCTAAATCACAGCAAAACAATGTCCCAGGTCAGCAATCAATGCACTGCACAAAAGTAAGGCCTCATCTTCACTGGCACAAAGCTTTGGCTGGGGGAAGGGCTGCTCTTATGATTAAGATAAATTAAGATAAAGTGTGCAACCATCACATTATGATAAATCCTCAAAACCTGACCAAGCACCTGCTCCTGTCCTAAAGTAATAGGATGACGTCAGACTACACCCACATCCCACTGTGGATGACCTACTCTCACTTTAAGAGTGGGTTTAATGATTTTAAATGAGTTTCACAAAGCACTAACTGACACCTGAAAGCCCAAACAGCAATCCATTGACATCTCTAAACAGGAACTACTTGAAATCATGGGAAACCTCCAAAGCATGGCAGGTGCTGCAATTTGGCTTCACAACCTACAAAAGAGTCCCAACAAAGCCTAAAATGTACCCAGGTGTTCAAAACAGGTCTGCCCATCACACCCTCCTTCAGAAAAGTGGGGTTTTCAATGGCAACTGTCTGTGGTTGCCACTTTGTTTTTAGGGGTTGATACAAGCACGAGCTTCTTGCACTGCTCATAAATAATTAATTCCTGAAAAGGCCCCGTTGGGTACCTTCAGGATATGAGGGTGTCACATTAAAGCTTTGGCAGAAGCCAATGTTTTACCTAAAGCAGCACTGCCAGCTTGCATTGTTACACTGACAAATTAGAAAAAAAAAATGTTTTCACTGAGTGCTTTAATATCATGTCCTGAACTTACAAATGGTTTTAAGTTTATTTCCTACTGACAGTCCTCAAAAAGAGCAATGCCCACAGCACACCACCAGAAGTGCTCCATCAGCAGGGAAATGGGATGAACGGCCGCCGGATGATGCTCATTCCCTATCCCAAGTTCATTGTGACAGCAACAGTTTCCTCACCACACCCTCTCAGTCTCCCTGGAAATCCCCAAGTCCTCCCCTTCTCATCCCAAGGGTGTCCAGCTCACCCTGTAAGGTGACAGGATAAGCAGCACTGAGTCTGATGGATGGTTCAAAGCTCACTGGGGCAATGACATTCCTTGACAACACATCCCAAAGAAACACAGTCCTCCTAATCTTCAGAGTGCAATGTCCACTCACCTTCCCATCAACACTTTAAAACTAACACCAGAAACTTCAAATGAACCTTATAAACAGCATCTGTAGGGTCACCCCACTGATTTTGGTGCCTCCTGATCCACATATCCCAAACCTGGGTTAAAAGGGGTAACATTTCCCCTGTATATACACTTACAGACACACACACACACTTCCCACAATCTTTTAAATATCTAAGCCAAAAGTTTGCAATTCCATGTGCTGTGGTACATCTAATTCTCCAGATTAATTAAAAAAAAAAAAAAAGTGATTTTAAACAATACCTCAGTGTTTTAGGAAGATCATAAGGAAGGCCTAAAAACTTCCACCCACACTCCTGAGGGTTTGCAAGTTCCAGAATCAGGTTACGTGGGAAAACTGCTGTCAAGTCTCAAGACCCACATTTTTCCTTAACACACCTTTTTTTGGTTTATATTTAGGTTTATCTTTACAAAGCTAAAGTGGCAGAAAGTTTGTTGTGGAAGAGATTCCAATCTGCTCCCTGATTCCATCCCTGGAGTAGCACACTGGTACCTCTGTGAGGTTCTTTTTTCCCAAACCAGAAGAAAACCCCCAAAAAACAGAGCATTTCTGCAACATTTATATTAAAACCTTAAATTACAATGACAAGAAATTAAACAGAGTAAGGACTCAGGATGCAGATTTATCCACTGGGAACTGTGGATCTGTGCAATTATCACAACTTCAGTCTGCCCAAAATCAGTCATTTCAGAAATTCAAATTTGCAGCCTCCCCACTTCTTGCTTTATTGAAGAAAAAAAAAAAAAAAAAAAAAAGGACTAATTTGCCATTGGGTAGTTTAGAAACAAAGCCCTGCTCTGCAATTCATTTGAACTGTTTAAAAAGTTACTGATACTTGTTTTTAATGATAGATTTTTATAGCTCTGCACACTAACTGTCGTCCAGAGCCACAAGTACTCCAAACACTCAAGTTCCACCATTCCCAAGTACTTTTACATAGAAAAAATGACTGAAGCCCTTACTCTGGAGTTTCAGAGGATTTTATATTTTCTTCCAGGCTCCAAGGACACAAGAGAACTTAATGCCAGCTCCCTCTATAAATTCACCTTCACTCACAACTCCTACCACATATCACACTCCATTATCTCCTGGCAGTGCAGGGAAACACAAGGGGATACTAAACAAACAGGTAGAGAGTTTTTACTGAACTTCCCCTCACTTTAAAGCCAACTAATCCAAAGGCACCTTAAGTGCATGATTCGTAGATTATGTCCTGTGCTGTAAAACAGGATTACTTGCACTAATATAAACCTTTTTGTTTAGGGATATAAAATTCCAACTGAGGTCACAAAATATTTTTCCAGATTCACTACGACAGACGGACAACCCAGCACAGTTTAAACTCCACCAAACCAAAATGCCTTTCAAAACATATTTTAAACAAACGAAAATGCTGAAGTTATCCATTGGTGAGTGTGTAAAAACCACACTCTTAGAAGTTACAAACTGGCATGTGAGGCCAAATAAATAGAACTTTTTTTCCACCAGCTGCATGAGGATCAGGGTACACAATATATAGAGATCTGTATTTTAATTTCATTAGACTCCTGAGATTGGATATAAAGCCACTTTTCCCACTTGACCGGCTGCTCACTTAGTGATATTCAAGTACTAATAGGTGTCCTCAAAGATCGAAACTGTTTCTAAAAAAAAAAGTGAAAGAGGATCCATTACCTGCTTGAGAAGTTACTGTGTTTCTCAGAGAAAAGACTGACATCAAGTATTCCCACGTTTCCCATCCACTTTTTAAAAGTCTCCTTAGGAAACTCCGGTTGCCAACAGCAAGAGACGTTTGTGTTTAGAGAACTATGGGGGGTTTTCAGGCACCCGCAATCACAGAATCACTTGAAAGGCTGAGCAACTCTCAGGCGAGCAAGTCACGACTTTTACTTTAACCTACAAGCCAACATTACGGCGCAGAAATCACTCGGCCGCCTGAAATCCCAGCATCGCTCCAGGCTACACCCCCCCAGCATCTCTCTCCCGGAGAACAAACCTGCGGGCGAGAACCAACTTCCACCGAGACCAACCTGCGCAGCTGCTCCCGCCAGCCATTCCCTGCGCGGCGCCGGGAAGCGGAGCTGGCGCTGGAATGCGCCAGTTACTCCAACATAGTTACGCTCCAGCCTCGGTTACCACGCGCACCCCGTTGCCAGGCTGTGGGGAGCGTCTCTCCTCCACCCCTTGGAGCCGCAGGACAAGGGAAACAAGAGGATTTGGGGCTGGCACGGGAGCCTCGGAACCGCACCGGCACTGCGAGGAACGGCGCGGAATTCCCGCCCGGAACGTCTCCCGAGGGTTGGCTTTTTTTTTTTTCTCATCCAGGCGCCCTCTCCAAGTCCTCGGCGGCGGCTGAAATCCTCCCCCCCGCCAAAAGCGCGCCCGAGGCCCCGCGGCAGAAGGGGAAGAAACGCCGAGCTCACATTTTGGGTCCCCTCCGAGCCACGGGCCGGGTGATGTCAGCGCGGGGCCAGCGGGCGGGAGCACGATGGGAATTGTAGGCACAGCCCCGGGACCCACCGCCCTCAGCCGGGGGTCGATGGGCGCTGCCTGAGCCGCTGCGCTCGGTCGGGAAACGCTTCTCAGCTGGGAGGGAAGTGCGAGGGGGTGTTTGGGATGCGCCTTCTCCTTCCCAGTTAGCAGAAGTGATTTCTAAGTAATTATCCTCAGGTGATCACTATACTATATTTTATATTTCCTATTTTATATTTTATATTTCCTATTTTATATTTTATATTTCCTATTTTATATTTTACATTTTATATATTATTTTTATATTTCATATATTATTTTATATTTTTATATTATTTTTATTTTTATATATATTATTATATTATTTATATTATTATATTATATTTATTATAATATATTATATATATATTATATATATTATATATAATTTTTTTATTTTTCTACATAATATATAAATATTATTTATATATTTATGGTTTCGTATATTTCTATATTACTTATATATTTAAATACTATATAAAACTTATATATAATGCACATATATTTATATATTTATATTTTATTGTATATTTTATATTATAGATTCTATAATATATATTATGTATATTTTATAGATATTCTATAATATATATTATTTATATTTTATATTTTCTATTTCCTATTTCCTATTTTATATTTTACATTTTATATATTATTTTTATTTTTCTACAAAATATATAAATATAATTTATATATTTATGGTTTCGTATATTTTTATATTATTTATATATATAAATAATATATAAAAGTTATATATAACGCACATATATTTACATATATTTATATTTTATTGTATATTTTATACTATATATTCTATAATATATAATGTATATTTTATATATATTCTATAATATATATTATTTATATTTTATATTTTATATTTCCTATTTTATATTTTATATTTCCTATTTTATATTTTACATTTTATATTTTATATATTTTATGTATTATTTTTATTTTTCTACATAATATATAAAAATTATTTATATATTTATGGTTTCGTATATTTCTATATTATTTCTATATTTAAATAGTATATAAAAGTTATATATAATGCACATATATTTATATATTTATATTTTATTGTATATTTTATACTATATATTATAGAATATATATTATGTATATTTTATATATATTCTATAATACATATTATTTATATTTTATATATATTCTACAATATATATTATTTATATTTTACATATATTTATATTTTATGTAGATATATTTATATGGATGTATTTCATATTTTTATAACATATATATTTGTATTGATATATTTTATATTTATATAATATCTATTATATTAATATCTCTTTTTATACTTTACATAAATATATTTATATGTTTTATATTTATATAATATATAAAATATATTCGTGTTACATATCACTGCATTAATAATTAATGTATTTTAAATTGGAAATTAATTTGCTAGTTAATACATTAATTAATAATGTGGTAATGCAATTGTGTTATATTTAACATACTATATAATATATGATTATAATATATATATAATATATTATATATAATATATATTATATGATATAATATAGTGTATATATACACTAATATACATGTGTGTGTGTGTGTATATATACATGTATACATATACATGCACATATATATAAATACACTGTATACAAATATATATAAATATATTTAATATATATATATATAAATACACTGCTACAAAAAGAATGAACATAATTTAAGTAGATAACAAAATCCAGAGACAATGGAAATGGCAAACAGAGCCATTTTCATCTTTTTCAAGGAAATCAACATACTAGTTATTATATTAATATGATAGTTATAATATAGTTCAATTGCTGGGGAGTGTAGCCCATCATCAGGCAAGTATTATTACAGTCTTGAGACTAGGAAAAAAGAGAGAGCAGAGTGCTAAATTCCAACCAAATTAAAAAAAAGATACACACAAACCCCCAAAAACACTAAAGCTGCCCCGCAACGTACATTTATTTAAGTCATCCAAGTTAAACTTAAAAATAAGTTGTTCACCCTGAACAACAAAAGGACATTGAAAGCGCTGCTAAAATACACTGTGAGCGCCACACAGCACATAACCTCCCCCAAATATTAAGTTTATTCCACACAGCTTTTCTGACACGGAAATAAATAGGAAATTAGGTCACCTCTCCCTAAAAATTTCAGTCTTTGTTTGCTTTATTGTTATCCCCCCTCCAGTTCCTCTCCACAGAGCTGTGATGACATTCCCAGACTGCCACTGTCCTCCTTCAGCTGCCTGGAGGAAGCAAAATTTGAGAATAAAAACATAAATAAACACGAGACATGAAGCTTTTATATCTATTTCCCATTTTTTTTTTCCCCTCAAAAAACTGGAAAGAACAAAAAATCTCAAGCAGGGATTAAAGAAAAAAAAAAAAAAAAAAAAAAAAAAAAAAGAAAAAGAAAGCCCAAACATTTCCAGTGTTCTGGCAGCACAGCACTAAAGTACAAACTCTTATTTTAGTGATAGGAGTAGACAGCAAAATTCCAGGACAGAGGGAACGAGAGGAAATCCAGACACAAATCCACAAAAAGAATTTAGGCATGAATTATTTCCACTAGTTTGAGAACAGCGTGTTACAGAAAAAAAAAAAACCAAGACAGCCTATTCTGAAGGGCTCACAGTCCACCCAAAAGCAAAATGCCACTCAGGGAAAGGATGGGGAAAATAGTTTAAATTAAAAATGTAGCATTTTTCTGTGTTTCCATCCAGCAGAAACTGTGCTCCCAGCAATATTAAGTGACTAGAAAGAGTAGGAGCTACACCCTCCTCTCAAAATAACATGCAAAATGCCCCCAGCGCTTGTGCAGAGTGTGGTTTCAGTAGGAACTGCTGCGAAAAGGGGATGAAAGCTGCCAAATTTTCCAGCTCTGAAAACGCTGGAGAACTCGAGTCTCCTGGAAAAGCAGGATCACCACAGGCTGTGAGGAATAAATCAGATTTGTGACTCTCATCCGCGCAGTATTTGGACACTCCCCGAGGACCTCAAAGGTTTTGGCAATGCGTTAACAGCAGGAAAACACACCCAAAATATTAATATTAAGCAAATATTATTATTGGGCACATGTTAATATTCGTGAGGGCGTTTTAGAGTTGCTGACTTCAAGTAATGCAGCGTGAAGGTGATCACACAGAACCTCCTGGCTACAGCAGTGTGAAACCTTGTGAGTAATTATATCTTTAATATTGGATTCCAGTCATTTTAATAACTCAGTAGAACATACATTTTATGTTATATATGTCATACAGGTTTTACATATGTTTTATTTATTTTATATATTACATATATATGTTATGTATATTACATATGTATATGTTATGTATATTACATATGTATATGTTATGTATATTACATATATAAAATACATAGCACATAATAATATATCTAAATATAATAATATACAAAACATATATATCATTATATATATGTTTTTCTATATTCTATTTATACAGTTATGTATTATATATGTATTGTGTACGTATTATGTTATGTATATATGTATTATATGTTATACATGCATTATATATATTTATGTTATGTATATATGTTGCATATGAATTATATATGTTATATATTATAGATGTATTATATGTTACATATGTATTACATATATGTTATGTATATGTTACACATGTATTATATATATTATGTTATATATTACATATGTATTATATATATTATAGTATATATTGTATATGTATTATATGCTATATATGATAGATAGATAGATAGATAGATAGATAGATAGATAGATAGATAGATAGATTAGATAGATAGATATTACAGAGTAAACTGATGAAGTATGAGCAGTCATTCTCCTGGACTCTTCACCACACCAAAACAAATTTTGGGGATTTTTTACTATGACAGGATATATAAAAAACGTGACAAGGAAGGAAGAACTGCTACTAGAAAAATTTAAAAATGCAGGGGAAAAAAAAAAAAAAGATGAAATTTTCTTTTTTCCGTAACCAGACATTTCAATGTATTTCCCTCCACAACCGCTCTTTCCCTCAAGAAAACACCACTTTTTGGGGGGCGTCCACACCGCCCACAGATCCCTCTCGGCGCACACGCGAGAGGCCAAGTGGAAGAGCCGGACAGCGTCGTACTTTCGCAGAGAGGTCCTTTATTTCTTTATTTCTGCTCCTCCGGCGGCCACAGCGCTTCCCTTCCCCTCACGTTTTCCCGCCTCCCGCCATGAGGGAGCGGCGCGAGGCCACTCCCCCCCCCCCCCCCCCAACGTCCCCGCGCAACTTTTCCCGCGCCCCGGCCCAGGCGGGAACGCAACGGCGGCCGGTGGGAGAAACCACTGCGAGGGGGACATGGGGGGGGGGAAGGAGGGCAAGGAGGACGGGAAGGAACCATCGTGAGGCGGGACGGGGGGGGGGAGAAACTGAGGCAATGGAGGGGAGGGGGAAACTGAGGCAGCGAGGGGGAAAAGCAGGGGAAAAAGGGGATGGGGAAGGAGCTCCCCTCAGTTTCTCCTCAGGAAGCAGGGCGGATGCTTTCCAGCTGTGTTTAATGTGAAGCACCAGGTTAACCTGCCAGCACCCCTTCGGTGCGTCCCTTGCTGAGGGAACGGTTCCTCACTGGACGGGAGGTTGTCCAGGGATGTGGTGGAGTCACCGTCCCTGGAAGTGTCCAAAAAACTTGTGGATATGGTGCTTGAGGACACGGCGTGGTGGTGGATTAATGCTGGGTTAATGGCTGGACTCCCTGATCTTGGAGGGCTTTTCCAGCCTTAATGATTCCAGGGCTGTCAGGGATGGAAAAGCCCCTGCAAAATCAACTCTGCAGCTTCCAGCCCAAGCTCACCCGGCTAAAACCATCAATGAGAGAGCAGGATGTGAGGGAGAATAAAAAAAAAAAATAAGGATAGCATGGATTGGGGCTGCCCCCTTCCCATTTCTGCCACATCCCTTCTCCAGAATCCACCTGATACCTTTTTATTTCAGTACCACCTTATTTTGTGTCTGACCTTCCGTACCTGCAGCCTGCAGCTGTTGGCAACAAGAAAAGCCTCTAAAATACGTTAAGAGGACAAAAGGAACGTGTGTCTAAGGCAGGAAAAAATTCAGGGCTTCCCCAAACAGAGGAGTTTATTCAGTGTTTACTCAGGCTCTGCTCACACCAGGACAATAAAACTATTCTGTGGAAACTTTGCACAATGGGTGGCAGAGAGGAAAAGCTGCTTCTGGCAAAGCAGCATCAACGGGCAGCACAGCCTCGCCTTTGTGGCACTTAGAGGATCCAGTTTCATTTATTTTTTTCCAGCAGAAAGACTCTGTTAACAATCCCAAACCTGACCAACAGCCTAAGGCGCTTTTCTTGTCAGCAAGCAACCTGAAAAAGTATTTGTCCTGTTGTGTGTCTTCAGCCCAGGCAAATAAAAGGCACCATCTCTTCTCCTTCAGATAAATCACTTTTAAATTAGATACGATAATTAACAAGATATTCCACAGACTCACTTTACAGCAACCATAGAGTTTTAATCAATATGAGCATTTTTCACAAATTCCTTTCACAGTAACGCTGAAACAGCAGCAGAATGTGCTTTGGACGGGTTTTGTTAAAAATATTCATGCAAGAGGTTGTGGTTTTTGGGGTTTTTTTTTGGTCAAAATGGGAGGGGACCTGGGCACCTCTCTCATCACGCCCTTGTGTAATGGATTTATTGTAATACAAAAATAGAAAGGGCTCCTATAAATCACTGCAGGTTGACAGGGATAGGAGGCACGGAGCCGGTTGGCTTTGGAAGCAAAGAGGAACATGCTGACTGCAGGAGCAGGGAAAATTGGGAAGGCAGAAGAGTGTTGGGGGCCAGAAAAAAAGTGAAGCAAAGAAATGCCAACTTAAAATCAAGGTCTGAAATGTGAAAGTACAAGGCATTCCTCTTCCTGAACACAATTCCAGCGGTGGGGAGAAACACCCACACAATCAGCGAGTTTAAGAAGCTCAATGCAAGGAGTAATTTGCAGTAAAAACTTTTAGCCTGAGAATACGTAAGAGCAGCATGATCTCCACTCAAAAAAAAAAAAACAAAAAAAAACAAACAAAAATCATCATAATACCACAAAATGGTTATTCTGAACTGAAACATTCAGTGCGTGGAACAGGGAATCTCCTGCTCCCATTGCTCACTTCAGTGGGAACACGCCCCACATCCTACACGGAGCACAGTCTGATGGAGGGTCAGACTCAAAATCCATCCAACAACACGTGGCAACCCCTAAATAAACAGGGATTACCCTCAGGAAAAAGTGCACTTCCCTGTGTATCTCTCTCCACAACACCCAGTGGACGATCCGACCTCACAGCTTTGGGTTCCCGATTTGAGGGGACCCAGTTTGAGTTCAGTCCCGATTTGAGGCCTCCTGTGACACCCCTCCATCAAACACCACAAACACCAGCCGAAGGCCAAACTTCTCCCACAGAATAAGATCCTCCAGAAGGCAACTGGTGGCTCCTCACCTATTTAGCAGCACTTTTCGGCCACCACTCGGGCGTGTTTGCGCTGAGCTTCACTTTATCCCCTCCCACATCGATGCAGAGCGGCTCGTTTACGTGAGCCAACCTCAGCAGAGCTATCCCGAGGTCACCTCCTCCCGCCCGGAACTTCCCGGCCGGCTTTCCCGACTCGGTGAGGATCTCGGCACCCTCGGGAATGCCGTCTTTGGGAAGCGGAGCTGAGAAGGAGACGGGGAGCAGGCGCTTGCGGATGACGCCCATGTGGTGTGTCCTGGCCGTCAGCTCCTGCCCGATGTAACAGCCCTTGGTGAAGCTGATGCCGTTCATGTAGGCCAGGTTGGACTCCAGAGGGAGGGCGACTCCAGGAGGGAGATCCTTCACACCTTCAGGAATTCCTGGGAAAAGAGTAAAGCCAAGAGGTAAATACTCCTCCATAAGGCTTGTGCCCCAAGTGCCTTAAATTGTTTGAGTCATTAGCAACTTATTTTCCAAAACCAGATGGACTCTGATTTAAGCACAGAACCATCACCTTTCACTCCGCCAATTAATTTAATCCACCATCAGCCTGGACACCATAAAATCAAAGGCACTGGGACTCCCAGCAGCGAGTTTCCTCTCAAATCAAACATCTTCCCCTTGGCCTCTGAGTTAACTCAGCAAAAACACCCACGAATTTTTAGGAAGGTAAGTCTGGGTGTTCCCTTTTCCTTCCTTAGCAACGAGCAAAACACACTGCCTGTGTGTAACCCCAAAATAACCAAAATTGCTCAAACCACAGAAGCTTCTAAGAAAATGACTAATCCTGGTTTTCTTTCAGCATTCCTGACCAATCCCCATCATCTGAGTAACAGAAAACCCAAATATTACTTCTGCCACCAGAGAGAATTCTAAGCACCAGAGAACTTTTTTACTCAAAGCAGCAACTAATACCTTTATTTATTAACAAATTAAACACATTACTTATTCCTGTCTTATCTCAGCACACGGACTCCCAAAATCCAGAGCCACAGAGTGCAAAACAGGACTCGGCTTTACCTTGCTTATACCTGTGCCTGTGGTAATCCTGAACGTCTCCAACTTCACTCCCAGGGATAATCTCCGACAGATTTGCTCCTTTCTTTGTGATCAGTCTCCAGCCCATGACCTCTGCCCTGGGGTCAGGAGTCAAGAGCACAGCCTGGCCTGCACATTTCGGGAGGGAGCTGGAGGCATCTCCAGCCTGTTCCCCAGGGATGACAGCCCACAGGGAGAGGTCAGGGCAGGGGGAGATGTCAACTTTCCTGCGGATCTTGTACAGTTTCAGGTGTTTCTGGAAGGGCTCCAGGACGTTGCTGTCGCACTCCAGCAGGATGTGAGGCTCCTCTCCCGCGCTCCCGTGGAGCCTAAAAAAAGTAACACCTGCAAGGTCAGGAAAACAAACCCCCACAGCAGCGGGAGCCAAAACGCTTTGTCTGGATCCTGGTGCGAATCCAGAAGTCTGGGCAGTTTCATGGAAGGCTGCTGGCACGCATGGAGCAGGAAATACCTGATGTTTTCCAGCCTTCGGTTGTACTCTTTCCCAGCAAACACTGCCCTCAGCTCTCCCAGGGACAGGAACAGGGTGTGAGGAATCCTCCACCCCTTCCCTAAAGTGAGGGGAATTTCAGCAGGGGGAGAAGCCACGTTCAGCTGTGCCTTCCACTGGCACAGAATCCCAGAATGGTTTGGGTAGGAAGGGGCAATAAAGATGATCCAGTTCCACTTCCCATCATTACTTTTGACTGCATTGACTGGAGAATGTTTCCAAGTATCGTAGAATCCTAGAACAGTTTGGGTTGGAAGGGGCCTTAATGATCATCCAGTCCCACCCCCATGCCATGGGCAGGGACACCTTCCACTAGCCCAGGTTGCTCCAAGCCCCATCCAACCTGGCCTTGGACAATTCCAGGGATGGGGCAGCCACAGCTTCTCTGGGAAATCCATTCCAGTCCCTCCCCACTCTCATACCCAAGAATTTCTTCCTAATATCTCATCCAAATCTCTCCTCAGTCACTTTGAAATCATTCTCCCCTTGTCCTGTCCCTCCATCCCTTGTCCCCAGTCCATCTCCAGCTCTCCTGGAGCCACTTTAGGCCCTGCAAGGGCTCAGCTCTCCCTGGATCCATCTCTTCTCCAGGTGGACCCCCCCAGCTCTCCCAGCCTGGCTCCAGAGCAGAGGGGCTCCAGCCCTCCGAGCATCCCCGTGGCCTCCTCTGGACCTGCTCCAGCAGCTTCTCCTGTGTCTGGGTGGCCCCAGACCTGGATGCAGCTTTCCATACTCCATGTGGGCAGTCCATATCCCCAGGTGGTATCCCCACGGCCATCACACTTCCCTGCCGGGGCAACCCGCAGAGGCTGCAGCAAGTCAGTAAAACCACTCTGAATAACCGCTTTACTGCGCTTCTCTTTATAAATATAAGCCAGCAACGCCGCGTGTCTGGCACGGGCGGTAACAGGAACCAGGAACCACGCCCGTGCCTGGATTAGTCTCCTCTCCCCCCGCCGCCCCACAATGGTCTCGCCCAGCTCTTCCCCCCCCGCGGCCCCACATGGTCTCACCTGTACAGGATGACGTCATACAGGCAGCGGCCCTGTACGTTCAGCGCGTGCGCGTACAGCGCGGAGGGGGCCCCGTCCGCCGCCGCCGCCAGCTGCGTGACGTCATTGGTGAGCAGCCCCTGCAGGAACACGGCGGCCTCGGCCCCGCGCACGCCCAGCAGCGCCCGGCCCGGCGGGAAGCAGGCGGCGGCCGCGTCCCGCCGGCCCCGGCACAGGCGGCGCAGCCCCGGCGCCGTTACCGCCCTCACCAACATGGCGGCACCGTCAGAGGGTCCCGCCGCCGCCGCCCGCCGCCGCCGCCGCCATCTTGTGTGTGTCCCGGGGGAGGGCGACACCTGCCGGCGGGATGGGGGTCGCACCGCTGGTCACGCCCCCGCCCACAAATACCACGCCCCCTCCCTGCTCTCTCCCCTCGCAAGGGCTCGGCCGTTTGGCCACGCCCCCATCTCGATGGCCACGCCCCCTCCATTACACTCAACCACCTCTCTGGCCACGCCCCTCCAATGGCCACGCCCCTCCCGGCTCAGTCTCCTCCTAGAGCCACGCCCCCTCTCCCATGGCCACGCCCCCCGGACGATCCCGATCGGGAGCGGGCGACCAACGGGATCCTGAGGATGGAATTTGGGGACCCCCTCCCGCTGCTCCCCGGTTCCCCGGCTATGGAGGGAGCGAGGGGAACACCTAAATCGCTCGCACCTCCCGCGGTTTGGTTGTGGGAGTGCCCGAGGGCTGCCCAGCCCGGCTGCTCCCCCTTAGTCCTTACAGAATCACAGATCATTAAGGTTGGAAAAGACGCCTGAGATCATCGAGTCCAACTTGTGACCGATCACCACCCTGTCAGCCAGACCACAGGACTGAGTACCATGCCCAATGTTTCCTTAAACACCTTCACTCCTTCCCCTGCCGAGCCTAAAATCCCCTAAAAGCCACATGGACCCATTCTCTTCCAGGGACATTTTGGCTAACCTGCTGGAAAACTCCAAAGGTCCCTGTTTTCCACTGTTTTAATTCTCCCCTACTTCTGTTTCTGCAGGACCCACCAACTGCCCCCCTCCTCCTTTAACACTCTTGGAAAAACTTGTCAGCAGCTCTGTCTTAGAGTAAATTTTAATGTTTAGCAGTGGGAATTCTACTAAGCATTGCACTGAAATAAACCCATGGAATTATGGAATAATTGGGTTAGAAGGGACCTTTAAAGGTTATTTAGCCTAAGCCCCTAGCAACAAGCAAGGACACCTTCAATCCCTCAGGTTGTTCAGAGCCCCAGCCCAACCTGACCTGGGATGTTTCCAGGGATGGGAAATCCCTGGTTAAAATCCTGCTGTTAAAATCACGGAGCTGAAGGTGCTGTTTTGCTTCCTTCTTGAATATTCCCTGGCACTCTGGGAAGTGGAGTCTCAAGGGCCCGGATAGCCCCGGGTTTGGCTGCAGCTCTTTCTGCTGGAATTCCTCCCACAGTCCAAGGAATAGCCGTGAGTCACCCCTGTCATTTGCAATTCCCGTTCTGCAGTGGCTGCAGTTGGGTTTCAGGCCATCCAGCCCCTCCTGCTGCTCCCACCAGCAATGAGCAGCTCTGCAGGGAGCGGGGTGGTCACCTGGCCCTGAATGACCCTGCTAAAACCACCAGGACCGGTGCCAAGCCCCTAAAACCCACGGATCCCAAAACCCTGAGCGGAGGGACCCGTTTTCCAGGAGCTGGGGATGCAGAGAGTGTTCCTCCAGCTGGCCCTGGGGCGGGACTGGACTCTCCCTGCATGTCCTGGGTGTGATAACCTTATCACACACCCCTGTGTGTGTGGGACAGATCAGCTCCTGGTGGTGCCAGGAGGTACAGAGTGTTCCATTTGGGGCTGGCCCTGCTTGGAGGTGACACTTGTCAGGCACAGGCAGAGCAGGTGGGGAAATAAAGACTGGCACAGATGTGATTTGAGGTGACCTTGGCACGTGGACGAGCTCTGCCCTCCCCCTGGCACGTGTTGGGTGTCAGAAACGGGGCTGAGGAAACCTCAGCCTGGCCTGAAACCATCCGGAGATGCAGGGAGCTGGTGCCCAGCGGGGTTTTCTCCTCTCCCTGGAAGTGGGAATGTGCCAGGAGCAAGAGCTGTGTTTGCCTTTTAGAGGCCCAGGAGAAGGGGAAAACTCACATATCTGGAAGCACAGCTGGGCTGAAACTCCAGAGTCCAACGTGGACTCACAGCTGGATCCAGCTTTGGCTCTTCTTTGCCGGTGCCACATCCCTGCTGCACCCACCAAGTCACGGGGACCAGCGGTGGCCACTCCATGGGAAGCCCTTGGCCATCTCCATGCATTCCCATGCTGCTTCCCAACCATCACACAGGTTGTATCAAACCCCACATAGATATTTGCAAAGGCAGTAAGTTAAATAAAATCAAAAATGGAAAAGAATCAGGCGGCCGGTTCAAGCCTTCATTTGCTTTTCCCTCTCCCATACTTTTATTCACTTTTCTCTGGGTTTTCTTTTCTTTTATCACAGAGTTATGCAGTCAGTAAAGTCATATTTAAACATTTCAGTGTCAGAAACTACAGCTCTGCCAGTTTAGTGCATTAAATGAGCTCAGGGGATTGTTTGAGACAAGTCATGGCATGGTTGAGACCTGCAAAGCCCTTGGGAGGTTTGTGCCAGCCCTCACTGAATGAGTGTCTGTCCTCACTAAAATCAGGGGACCTGAAACCTTGTCGGAGGGACAACTCAGCTCCCAGAGCTTCTATCACATGAATTTCTACTGGAAGGTGGGGAATTCTAGTGGAAAGTGTCCCTCCCCATGGCAGGTGGTTTATAATGAGATGATCTTTAAGATCCCTTCCAACTCAAACCATCCTGGGATTCTGTGATAATTCAGCAGACACTTGGTGATTCTTCCCCATCACTCCTGCTGTTTGGATGAACTTACACTGACTTTAAACCCCACTGGCACAGCTGGAACCATCTCCAGCGGGATCAAATCCTCCTGCCTTTCCTCATGGGAACAGTATTGCCCTTGGCTGATGCTCTCCCACAGGATTAGTACTGTGGCACTGAATAATGCCCTCTCCCTCTCTGGAATCTGTGTTTGGAGCAGAGGCTGGATCTGTGCTTCATTTCACTCTGAAATGTTTTTGTAAGCTGGATCCCATCAGCTGTGCCCAAGAAGTGCCTGTTCTCCCCACGGATTCCAAGTGGGCCTTGGGAACCAGATCCATGCAGGCATCTCGTGGTGCTGGAGATCAGTCTCTCCTCTGTGCCTAAGGCTCTCCACGACACAGAATCACAGAACATTCTGGATTGGAAGGGACCCATGGAAGCTACAACTCCCTCTTATCCATGAATCTGCCTCCACATCAGCCTGATGGATCATCCCCCACCAGCCTTGTCATTCCTGAAGGTGTTTTTGGAAGGAGAGCCGGTGGCACAGGGTGACAAGGCACAGCATCCCTGGCTAAGCTCTATCCCAAAGGGAAAATCCCCCCTTGGTGGAACACCTCTCATCCAGGCAGGTGTGTTGGGGCAACTTGGAAATCCTCACAGATAAGAGGATGGTGCCAAGGGACAGAGACTCTCTCTCTGTTCCTCACCAGCCCCTGGGCAGTGGCACAAGCTCCTGGCAGTCCCTTGTTCCATCAGCTTTCCACTCTCTGCTCTCCCACTGCCCAAAACCCTGTGGCAGCAGGACAGCCTGAGGCTCCCACTTGTGAGGGCTCATCCTTGGCATTTATTTACTCGTCCACAACTCCTCCACCAGCAGAAATCAAGGGATAACCACTGCATTAATCCTGGTATAATAAACTCATTTTCTCCAGCTTTTTCTTGGGGTGTTGAGCACAAACCCTCATCCCCAAACCCACGTGAGCTAATTATTCATCCCAAACCCTATTTAATAAATATTCCCCAAGCTGTGCTCTGGGAGGTCAATCACAGGCAGCCAGCAGGACACGGGGCTGTGGTGAACCATGGCAGCACTTCTGGCTCTGGGACAATATCCCACAGTCCTGGAGAGGGAAACATGGATTGTGGCTGGCCTGGGCAATGCAAAGACCAGTGATTATAGAGGGAAATTGCAAGGACAACAGGCAGGATGTAGGAATAAAGCAGGAATAAAGTGGCAGCTGAGTTTGCAGGGAGTGAGACAAAGGGGCTGTTCTGAAGGGAGGGTTGGTCTTTTCTCCCAGGTAACAAGTGATAGGATAAGAGGGAATGGCCTCAAGTTGCACCAGGGGAGGTTTAGGTTGGATATTAGGGAAAATCTCGTCACTGAAAGGGTGGTCAGGCATTGGATCAGGCTGCCCAGGGAAGTGGTGGAACCACCATCCCTGGAAATGTTTAAAAAACATGTGGATGTGGTGCCTGGGGACATGGTTTAGTGGTGGATCTGGCAGTGCTGGGTTAGTGGTTGAAATCAGTGATCTTAGAGGGCTTTTCCAGCCCTAATGATTCCATGTTAATGGGATTGAGGATGAAGGTAACCTTGTTGTTGGCATTTCCCTGGTTTGGAGGACACCTTGTTCTTTAGCAAAGGTCTCCTTTATTTGTGGCGTTTTAGCCTAAAATGCTTCTGACTATTGACCCCCCCCCCGTGGGCCTGTCAGAGGATCCTGCTCTCAGAATCACAGAATGGTTTGGCTTGGAAGGGGCTTTAGAGATCATCCAGTTCCAACCCCCTGCCATGGGCAGGGACACTTTTCCCTACACCAGATTTCTCCATGCCTCATCCAGCCTGGCCTTGGCTCTTCTCTCCCTTGGTGGAACCACATCCTGCTCACACCAAAGAATTTGTCAACACAGCTCAAATTCCAGAGAAACAGGAACAAAAACAGGAAGAAAATGCATGTTTGTGTCCGGAAATTTTTTTCCTGAAGACTTTTTGGACAGGGGTTGCGCGTGGACGTGCCCGTGATTTAACGGGAAGAGCAAAGACCGAGCCTGTGTGGAAAGTCAGGCTCTCTCACAAGTGCTTTCCCATCGTTTGCTCAGCCTGAATCATCAGTTTCTCCCAGATTCTCCCAAGTTTTCTTGCTTTTGGGAGCGCAGGCTTCCCTCAGCAGTTTGAGCTCCGTGCCTGAAGGAACTGCAGGCAGTGATTCATCAGGGAGACAACGCATCCCAAACAACTAGAAGGTCAACTGCTTCTTAAGGCAAAACTATTTTGCAATGATTTATAGCCATATCGGGGGAAAAAAAGAGCTCCTCCATGGCTAAAACAGGCAAATAATGGATTGAGAACAACTTCTTCCCAGCACTCGAGAGCCCTGCTCAAGGAAACATCACACGCTTTACATAATGTAACAAAATGTAAGTTTTATTCCATATTATTAGTAATGGATGTGGAACAACCAGTTGAAGAGCTGGA